GCTGCCGCCAGCAGTGGCAGCAGCAGAGGTGTGATGGGTCACCAGCTTCCCCTGATCGCCAGCTCAACTCCCACCCCTGAAGGCTCCCGAACAGTGAAAGGGGGCAAACTGGGCTGGGCTGAGGGAGCCCCCCCTCCGGTGCATGAATTTTCCTGCACTGGGCCTCTAGTATTTTTAAAAATCATAGAATGTTATGACTAGAAGGACCCTAAAAGTTTTCTAGGCCAATCTTCCATCTAATATTTAAATATTCTACAACATCTTGGTAATTGATTGTTCAACCATTTGCCTGACACTGCCAATGGCCAGATTCTTACCACCTCTTGTCATGGATAATTTTCTCAACTCCATGATTGCTGACTACTAAAGGTCTTCCCCAAAAGAACAATAATTGGAAAAAGCAGCTTTTCTAAGCAAGACTTGTATATCTTCCAATGATGTGTTTCAAAGATGATAATTTCATCATTTTGCTCTCCACCTAGATTCCTGAGTTTGTAGCCTCAGATATAAAAATAAATAAATAATGGTATTTTTCTCTTTGTATTTATTTGGCTATAATATATATATATATATATATATATATATATATATATATATATATATATATATATGTGTGTGTGTGTGTGTGTGTGTGTGTGTGTGTGTGACCAAAGTGCATAACTATTAATGAGTATGCTGTTCTAATAATTCTTTAAATTACTGGTTCAAAGTTTGTATGAGTTCCTCCCTGTAAGACAAATATGCTAAAAGTGATTTGCAAGTAGGTTAATAGTAGTAACAAATAAATAATATTAGATATAAGTAGGAGAAATTTTGTAAAGTACCTTTATTATAATAGAGGGGGTATAAAACTCATAGAATACCCAAAATGCCAAGGGGTACCTTTTAGATAATCAGGAACTATAGATTTGTTGTTAAAGTAGATTTCTCATTTTCTAATTAGATAGCCAGACACCACTCCTCTTCAAATAAATCTTAAGTACACAATCCCATTTTTCTACTCTTTATCTAGTTTATGTTTGTGTACCAAATAAGAGCTATGTTTAACTAAGTTGTTACTAAAGTTTCCTTGTTGTTTTTTCAATGAAGACCTAGTTTTACTTGCACATTTTTCACAAGCATCAAATAGTGGGTGATCTTTCAAGCTTGAACAGTAACAGTTGTATCGCTGAGGAAGGATTTCTTGTTTGAAATGATCTAGGTAATGATTTACAGCTATTTTGGGTAATACTCAAAGTGACAGCCCCTTGAATTTTTTTGTGTGCAGAAAAATTTGCTGGGCTGGCATCTTTCAGACCCTGGGAGGTCATCCCAATTCTCAGCATGTGGAAAAAAGGAAATGCCCTGAAATCCTTACTCCAGAGGGAACTGACCTTCCACATTATCTTGTGATACATGTGAATGTTTGATGAGCTATCTCCAAATATCTGTGGCCTCCTGAAGCCTGGAATTTGTGGGCCAAGGCTAACTTATGAGCTGTGGGTAGTCCAGGACCAAACCTGAAACATTGACCTATAATGACAGTTTACTTCCTCTAAAGAAAACTAACAGTACTTGGTAGTATCTATCTTTATATAGTACTATATACGTGGTTGTTAAAAAGTATAAAGATTGCAAAAAAGCAATAAATAAGAATTAACAACCTTTTAAAATTCTGAACATTATCAGAAAATACACATGGGTACCATTGGCTGTTGGAAAGTATAAGCTGTGATATAATATTTCAAGTACTAACCTGGCACTATACATAGTTATTATAATATTATTGACTACTAGAGGCCTACTGTACGAATTTGTGTACCAGTGGGGTCTGGCCAGCTGGAGTAAGGGGTTGCAGGCCGTCAAACACCCAGTTGAAAGGCCAGTTTGCATAATTAGCCTCTTAACAACCAGATCATGGATCTGCAGGAGGGTGGGGCAGTGAACTACAAGTGCACAGCCAACAGCTACAGGAGAAGGCAGGGCAGCAAGTTGGGTGTGTGTGTGGGGGGGGGGGGGGCGCGGCTGAGGGGTGGTAAGGGCAGCTACAGGAGACAGCAGTGACCGACTGGTGTACAGATTCATTCACAGGGCTACTAGTATAGGATATTCTCTATGCTGTACTTTACATCCCCAGGGTTATTTTGTGACTACCAATTTGTACTTCTTAATACATTCACCCTTTTCATCCAGCCTCCCAAAGCCCCCTCCCCTCTGATAGCTGTCAGACGGTTCTCTATGAGTCTGTTTCTATTTTGTTAGTTTATTTTGTTCAATAGACTCACCATTGGGTAAAATTATATATTATTTGTCTTTCTCTGACTGATCTTCGTTATGCTACCAACTTCCTTCAGCTACACAAGTTTGTCTTCACTTTACTAAACTCTTCAACTTTGGAAAGTTTTTCTTATTCAGTTTTTCCAAAGATTCATTTTGTTTGAAATCAGCATCTCTTATAAGTAAACAAAGTTACTCAGTTTTTACTGAAAGTCTTTAAAGAATCTTACTATGCAGAAGTTATTTGATTAAGAGTTTCCATTTTAATGATGTTAAGGAATGTTGAATTTAAAAGATTTAATAAGCCCAGCCAGTGTTACTCAGTGGTTGAGCATTGATCTATGAACCAGGAGGTCACAGTTCGGTTCCACGTCAGACCATATGTCCGGGCTGCAGGCTCGATCCCCAGTGTGGGGTGTGCAGGAGGCAACCAATCAAAGATTCTTCTCTGTCATCATTGATGCTCCTATTTCTCTCTCCCTTTCTCTCCCTCTCTGAAATCAATGAAATATTTAATAAGAGAGTAGGGCTAGAGCATTTCTCCCAAAATATATGAAAAATCAGATATCCTGGAGCTAGGATAAAAAGACCTCAGTCTTATAGATCAGTAGAAATTGAATTCCTGCAGATCTCCAAATTTAAGTGCAAATTTGTCTTTAGAGCTTGTCTGGATATGAAAATGGAGATGTATAGTAAACTCTTACAACTCCATGGGACTTTCCATAACAGTAGCTCCATGGAAAAATGGTCACAAAGAGAAATCCAAGAAAATGGGTAACTATAATTCACTTCACAATTGGGCATTCCAAGACCAAACCAGTAAATTGAATTATAACATTAGTTGAGTTTCTACAAAGAAAACCAACAAAAATTTTGGCAACATGGTACAGTGAGGAACCAATCCCACCTTCTCAAATAAGTAATATATATTAATTTACTAATCCCTAAAAGCTAAAAAGACAGCTATAATCAATTTTTATTAAGCACAAAAACCTTACATTACAATACACAGAAATAAAATTTAGCAAGATGGCCACCAAATCATTATGAAATTTTCCAGATTATAACTCTTAGGCCTCATGTGGTTTATTCATAAGTAGCCTGCAGTCCTCCAAGCACTATGTAATCCTTGCACTTGAATATGTGAATATAAGGTCCACAGTAGTTATATATCATACTTGGATAAGATATATGCTACTTTCAGAGTCCCTCCATAAAGACACACACACACACACACACACACACACACATACACAGTATATGATGTATATGTATATGTATATGATGTATATGTATATATATATAAATGTATGTGTATATGTTTATGTATATGTACTAGAGGCCCGGTGCATGACATTCATGCACTGGGGGAGGGAGTGTCCCTCAGCCTGGCCTGTGCCCTCTCACAGTCTGGGACTCCCTCCTTAGCCCTATTGCAAAGGAGGGAAAGGCTCCTGCCACCGCTGCTTTACTCGCCAGCCATAAGCCACAGGGGGAGCACTGACCATCAGGGGGCAGCTCCTGCACTGAGCATTCGTCCCCTGGTGGTCAGTGCATGTCATAACAACTGGTCATTCAGCCATTTGGTCGATTTGCATATTAGCCTTGTATTATACATATAGGATATTAAGATAATTAAAAGAGAAAGGGGCTCTTGGGTAAAATAACAGAACTTGAATGTCCAGTGTGCATGTGTGTATGTGTGTGTGTGTGTGTGTGTGTGTGTGTGTTTGTGTGTTTAAGTTTTCTTTTTTGGTTATTGATTTGTGGGAGAGATTAAAAAAGAGAGAGATTGATTAATTTGTTTTTCCACTTATTTATTCATTGATTGATTCTTTTTTTAATATATTTTTTATTGATTTTTTAGAGAGAGGGATAGAAAGTTAGAAACATCGATGAGAGAGAAACATCAATCAGCTGCCTCTTTTACACCCCCTACTAGGGATATGCCCGCAACCAAGGTACATGCCCTTGACCGGAATTGAACCTGGGACCTTTCAATCCACAGGCTGATGCTCTATCCACTGAGCCAAACCAGTTTCAGCTTATTGATTGATTCTTGAATGTGCCATGACTAAGGATCAAACCTGAAACCTTGGTGAATCTGGATAACACTCTAACCAACTGAGCTATCTGGCCAGGGCTCCCTTTTATATATTCATTAAATACTTTTTGACTAGTTGATATAATTATTACCTTTATGCTGAGTTACCTTTTAAACTGTTTCTCAAAAAACAAACAGAAAAAACACATGTGCGCGTGCGCGCGCGCACACACATACATACACACACACACACACACACACACACACAAGATCTGATACCTGGCTGGGTACCTCAGTTGGTTAAAGTGTTTTCCCAATACACGAAGGTTTGATCCTTGGTCAGGGCACATACAATAATCAACCAATGAATGCATAAATAAGTGGAACAACAAATTGATGTTTCTCTTTTCCTCTTTCTGTAAACCAGTCATTTTGACAAAATGTATTCAAAGTCATAAAGATATATATTTTTTACCATTTAATTTTACTTCTAGAAAACACATTTCAAATAAATAAAGCTATACACAGATAGTTAGCTACAAAGATATTCATTACTGAATTAAAATACAATATGTAAAAATAAACAGAAATAGGTGAATGAATGTTATATTTTAAAGCCAATTAATGAGATGAGATTGTGGGAAGAAATGTGCTTTTCTAGCATGGTTTGTGCTCATAGCTTAATTATTTCTGTCTGTAGGTCAATGGGAAGTGTATGTGTAAACACAACACAGCAGGCACTCACTGCCAACATTGTGCACCATTGTACAATGATCGCCCCTGGGAGGCAGCTGATGGCAAAACAGGATCTCCTAAAGAGTGCAGAAGTAAGTACCAAGACTAGAACTCTCAGAGCCTTCTTTACAAAGTAAGCTTATCTGTGGAATCTTTGTTGTTTGTGGAAACATAATGTAAAGTTGTGAGTGACTGACACAAACATACCAGTATCACTGACCACTATGCCCTCAACTATTGGAAAGAATTACAGCTTGCAAGTTGCCAATATGACTGTTTTACCAAGAATATGCTGCTCATTTTCTTGGCCACTTTGGGGCACCTAAGCATCCTTCCTAATCATTTGGCATTATAAAAACATGGTCAGACATAAGAGCAACTAGGATAATGGTATTCAATAAACCTCATAGTAGAGTTAATGAATTATAATCATGAATTCATTTCTCAAAAACAATCCTATAAAGCAGGTGGTGTTAATCCCCTTTTTGAAATCAGGTAACTGAAGCTTAGTAAGATTAAGTAGTTTTCCAAAATTAGTAAATAGAGTCAAGACTTGGTCCCAAATCTTCAGAATCCCAAATTAAATACTCCCTTCCCCCCATACTATGGTACTAAATCAGATTTGAAATTATGCCAGTCAGTCAAGAAGGAGGCTGCATTACCAGGTTAACTTTGAGTTTAAGGTTTGAAATTAGATAGAAGGGTAAAAAAATATGGGAATATGAATCATTGGGTTGTTTTTTTTTCCAATTCAAAATATTCAGAGAAAGTCACATGCCCATAACAATGTTTATACTCACAAACTTCAATTTTACTCGGCTTTACAGGCAAGTACTGTGGGTAAAATTCTGAGAAGTCTCTTCTCATTCATAATTTGGCATCATAACTGATTTATTATAGTTTCTAGGAAATGTAAAGGATTTCCTCTAAGCATAACTCTTAAATTATCTTACAATATGATTTTTAAAGATTATAAATCTTCTCAAAATATCATAACATATCAAGGAAACAATGGAAAACAATAGCACAAACATTTTCAAATACAGTTGACCTCCACAAAAAAGGTCTGGAATCTTATTCTAAATCACTCTTCAAGAGAATCTAAAGAATTTCTCCTAAATTCCTAGAATGCCATGCTGGCCCTTTACAGAGAATCCAATTGCATATCTAAATACATATAGAACATAAAAGACTTGTCACTTGGTGCTATTGACTGATAATTCTGGAAATGCCTTTAAGAAATTGATTACATAGGAAACACTACTGACCTCTTCTATAAGAAAATTGAGCCTTTTATAAGTGACTACCTTGATTCACCAGTACAACAATAGCTAATGAATAGAAAGACAAATAAATCTACCTACCAAGTTATTAACTCCTGTCAAAGAGAAGTGTTGTCCAGGCTCATTAGTAAGCATAAAATCAGGCCTGTATCTGAAGTATGAACTATTTTCAAATAAAGCCTGACAATTTAGGGTTTTCTAAGTAAGGCATGTAACCCCCAGGGATAACAGTGGTCCTTGAGAAGTAGCAGGAATGGAAATGGTGACATATTTCCATTAAAGAGAGAAAAAATTGATGGCCACTCAAATAGTCTTTCCAAAATAAATGTCAGCGCCAGTTGCTAAGGTAATTGTTATATCTCTGCCTATGTAAGCAAATATACATTTGATTGGCTTTCAGGCATTTCTTCAAAGTAAGTTTTTAATTTAAAAATCTAATGTCAATTATACCTCAAAAGAAATCTATAAAGAAACATTAAGCCCTAGCTAGTTTGGTTTAGTGAATAGAGCGACAGCCTGTAGACTGAAGGGTCCCAGGTTCAATTCCGGTCAAGGGCATGTATCTTGGTTGCAAGCACATCCCCAGTGGAGAGGGTGCAGAAGGCAGCTGATCAATGTTTCTCTCTCATCGATGTTTCTAACTCTCTATCCCTCTCCCTTCCTTTCTGTAAAAAGTCAATGAAATATATATATTTTAAAAAGAAACACTAAACATATACACCAAAAATACCCCAAAACTCAAAAAAAAAGTAAGTAGTTCCTGGCTGGTGTGGTTCAGTAGTTGAGCATCGACCTATGAACCAGGACATCACAGTTCGATTCCTAGTCAGGGCACATGCCTGGGTTGCAGGCTTGATCCCCAGTGGGAAGCATACAGGAGGCAGCCAATCAATAATTCTCTCGCCATTGATATTTTCTTTCTCTCTCTTTTCCTCTCTGAAATCAAATATATATATATATATATATATATATATATATATATATATATATATATAATTTTTTTAAAGAAAGTAGTAACCAATTAAAGGCAAGAGGAAACAGGATAAATGGGGATGGGAGACTAGAGTTTTTGAAGTATACCTATTTATATTGTTTTGGTTTTTATGTACTGTGAAATTTGTACTCTTCAAAAAACTAAAATTTAAATGAAAAAATTTAACTGAATATTAGAAAACCTACCACTTTATTTTTAATGATTTGCTTTCCTTCCATGCTTTTTCCCAGCCTGCAAGTGCAATGGACATGCTGATGCCTGTCACTTTGATATTAATGTGTGGGAGGCATCAGGGAATCGCAGTGGTGGTGTCTGCAATGACTGTCAGCACAACACGGAAGGCCAGCATTGCCAGCGATGTAAGCCAGGCTTCTACCGGGACCTCCGGAGACCCTTCTCTGCTCCAGATGCTTGCAAATGTAAGTGATCTCATTCATGGTTGCTGGAGAAAAGGATAATATGTGTAAAAGAGATGAATCTTTCCATCCTTCATTTGCTGGTTCAAGGGAGAGAGGTCGTGAAATTTCAGACAATACACTCACACTCATCAGTTAATTTCATTGATACAAGGCAAGAATTTTCAACTTGTTAGGTGAAAACAGTACAATATTCATTTAAAAACAATTCTCCTTTCTCACTCTCCATGAAGTAAAATTATTTTCTGTAGCACCACATTTTGGAAAACAAGATGTCTAGTATAAGAGAAAAAAGAATGATGAAGTGGGAAGTATATTTAAAATAATCTTAAGACAAAATATATGAGTATAGCATTGACAATAATAAGTAGACTGAAATTAATAAAATAAAGAGTGGTTTCCTGCACTTGAGTCATTCTAACTTTCATCTCCAGAGTGAACTTGAACACCTGTTTGGTTTCACTATGAATGTACTTTGCTTGACATTGCTCTAATGTACCCCATATCATAAACAAATTTAGAACATAATAATAAATCCCTTCTCTTCCCCACCCAATACAAAATTCATATAGAATGGATTCTGTTTTTTTGTTGGCATAACTCCAAGAAGTTTATTTGGAAAAAAGAGTAGAATTTTAAAATGCCTGTCCAATTATCTGAAATATGACTGTAAAGGGTGCATGCAGAACTTAAGTCAATGTCCAATGTGGCTGAACAGCTTACCTAACTACATGAGTATTTACATGTCTATTAACTCAGAAATTATTAGAGGACAAACCACTCAAGATTCTTAATGGAGATTGATGATCATGCCCTTCCTTTCCCCACCAAGGACTCCATGTTCTGGCTCAAAACAGTGACAGGAAGGGAGCAATACAATGGGAAATAATCATTTAAAATCTTGGAGTGTTTTTTTAATTTAAAGGAAAAAGTTTAGTGCTCTTGAAAAAGACATATTTTTAACATCAGGCAGGAGATATCAACATTTGAGTGGGCTTCTTTGTTATAAGCTTTCTCTCTTAAACTGTAGAAGACAGATTGTGGCACAGTTCACTTTCAACTCTGAGCCCGAAATTTAGATATCAGAGTTCTATTTTAGATATCAGAGTTCTATTTTACTTCAGCTCCTGTATGTACTCAGATTTGAAGCTAGAAATTAATAATAATTCATATTGCTAATCTCTCCTAGTTAAATACATAGATGCATCAAGTAAGGAATTATAAAAATAACTTATGCCAATTTAGTCCTTTTAGCATAACTTATAGCAGGTAGGTGGATTAGTAGGGAAGATCTATATCTCCTTCTTCCCTTCTCCAGACAGCCCCCTGATCAACTGGGACACTGCCCAATGAAAGCTTATCTTCATTCACTTATCTCCATTCACTATTCCAGCATATGTTTGGGGCAGAGATGCCTATGCCCGTTCACTTCCCTCACATGGTTTTCCTTATTAGCACCTTCTGGTTCTTTTCTTCCCTTTACTCAGCCAGGGATATGTCCCAACACCTATTAGCACACCTAATTCTTATCTCAACCAAAATGCTCTTCATAATGTATTATTTAATTGTCAAACATGTTTGGCAACATTTTCACTATTATTATTTTTGTTTGTTTTAATTTAAATTCTTTATTGTTTAAAGTATTACATATATCTCCATTTTCCCCCATTGATCTCTCCCTGGCCACTCCCGCCCTTTAGCACATGCCCTCACCCCCCCTAGTGTCTGTGTCCCTTGGTTTTGCTTACATGCATGTGTACAAGTCCTTTGATTAATCTCTTATCCCACCCTTCCACCCTGCCTTCCTTCCCTCTGAGGTTTGACAATCTGTTTGATGTTTCTGTGTCTCTGGATCTATTTTTGTTCATTATATTCCACAAATGAGTGAGATCATGGGATGTTTATCTTTCTCCAACTGGCTTATTTTACTTAGCATAATGCTCGCCAGTTCCATCCACACTGTTGCGAATGGTAAGAGTTCTTTCTTTTTTTTTACAGCAGTGTACTATTCCACTGTGTAGATGTACCACCATTTTTAATCCATTCATCTATTGATGGGCAATTGTGCTGTTTCCAAATCTTAGCTATTGTAAATTGTGCTGCTATGAACACAGGGGTGCATATATCCTTTCTGATTGCTGTTTCTGGTTTCTTGGGATATATTTCTAGAAGTGGAATTACTGGGTCAAATGGGAGTTCCATTTTAACTTTTTGAGAAAACTCCATACTGTTTTCCACAATGGCTGCACCAGTCTGCATTCCCACCAGTAGTGCACAAGGTTTCCTTTTTCTCCACATCCTCACCAGCACCTGTTGTTTGTTGATTTGTTGATGATAGCCATTCTGACAGGTGTGAGATGGTACTTCATTGTCATTTTGATTTGTATCTCTTGGATGATTAGTGACTTTGAGCATGTTTTCATATGTCTCTTAGCTTTCTGTATGTCCTCTTTTGAAAAATATCTATTTAGATCCTTTGCCCATTTTTTTAATTGGATTGTTTATCTTCCTTTTGTTTAGTTGTATGAGTTCCCTATAAATTTTGGAAATTAAACCCTTATCAGATATAACATTGGCAAGTATGTTCTCCCACATAGTGGGCTCTCTTATTGTTTTGTTGATGGTTTTCTTTGCTGGGCAGAAGCTGTATTTTGATGTAGTCCCATTTGTTTATTTTCTCCTTAGTTTCCATTGTCCTACGAGCTGTATTGGTAAAGATATTGCTATAACATATATCTGATATTTTGCTGCCTATGTATTCTTCTAAGATTTTAATGGTTCAAAATCTTATTCTTAAGTCCTTTATCCATTTTGTGTTTATTTTGTGTATGGTATAAGTTGGTGGTCTAGTTTCTTTCTTTTTTTTTTTTTTTGCATGGACCTGTCCAGTTTTCCCAACACCATTTATTGAAGAGACTGTCTTGATTCCATTGTATGCTCTTACCTCCTTTGTCAAATATTAATTGAGCTTGGTTCAACTTCAGGTTTCTCTGTTCTGTTCCATTGATCTATATGTCTGTTTTTGTACCAGTATCAGGCAGTTTTGAGAATAGTGGCTTTATAATATAGCTTGACATCAGGTATTGTTATCCCTCCAAGATTGCTGCAGCTATTCAGAGTCTTTTTTTTAATTCCAAATGAATTGTTGGAAAGTTTGTTCTAGATCTGTGAAATACTCCATTGGTATTTTAATGGGGATTGCATTAAATCTATAGATTGCTTTGGGTAGTATGGACATTTTAATGATGTTGATTCTACCAATCTATGAACACAGTATATTCTTCCACTTGTTTATATCTTCCTTCTATCTCTTTTTTCAATGTTTTGTAGTTTTCCAAGTACAGGTCTTTTACCTCCTTAATTAAGTTTATTCCTAGGTTTCTTACTTTCTTTTTGTTGCCATGGTAAATGTTTGTGTTTTGTGTTTTTTTTTAGTTTTTCTTTCTGTGAGTTCATTATTGGTGTATAAAAAAAGACATAGATTTCTGGGTGTTAATTTTGTACCCTGCTACATTGCTGAATTAATTTATCAAGTCTAGTAGTTCATTTTCACTATTATTTGGCAATATTTTCTTATCATTAACTATCTCCTTGGCAGATGTATCCCTGTCACCTCAAGTTATTAATTCTGATAAAATTAATGACAAATAAGTTAATTAATTGACATTTATTAAGTATCTACAACGTATCAGATTTCATAGTAGGTGCTGATTTAGATGTTGTTTTAGCCACAACTTTTCTCCTTATTAGTTCCCAATTTACTTTCATGATAAAGATAGTATCAAGAAAACAAGTTGATATTTTTAAAACTTTGAACTATCTCAGTGTGTGGTTCTATCAACAACATGTACAATGTTATTCAAAATAACAATTTTATTATATTTATTCTACTCTGCTCACCAAGGCAGAAAAGAAATCTGCTACTCACTCAGTGTGTGGCTCAGAGACCAATCCCACCTGGCACCATCTGATTAGAAAATGCAGAACTTCTGTTCCCATCCAGACCTATTGAATCAAATTCGCACTTTAACAAAATTCTCAGGTGGTCATATCATATTAAAAGTTTGGGAATACTGCAGAATGCTTTTCAATAAAAGTTAAATGCATTTCAGCACTTACTCTAGATGTCAATTTTTTTTGTTAATTATCCAGAACATCCTATCATTACCTAAGCATCAAATTTACCAAGGATTGCATCTCTACTTGTGCATATAGACTTAGAATTTTTTAAAACTGAATACAGAGGGGAAAATGGAAATCTGGGTAAGTATGTTTCTGTAGTTCAGTATTTTCCAAAGTTTAATTCATGGAACACTAATTCCATGAGATGTTAGTAGAAATGAGTATAAGAGAAAATTTGTCTATGGCCTGAAAATTTAGAAAATGGTGAATTAATCAAAGGTTTCCTCAGGATTTCTCAGAGCCTTTCATATGCTAATTTTCATTACAAATCTCAGACAGAGCTTTGAGGGGCGTCTTTCAAATTTAACCGGGGAGTGCCCACTCTCCCTCCCTTCCTCCCTCTCTCCCTCCCTCCTTTTCTCTCCCTCCCTCCTTTCTTTCCTTCCTTCCTTCCTTCCTTCCTTCCTTCCTTCCTTCCTTCCTTCCTTCCTTCCTTCCTTCCTTCCTTCCTTCCTGTGTTGGCAAATGGCCTTGGTGATTCTTTACTTGTTTATTTTTATTGACCTTAGAGAGGAAGGAGAGGGTGAGAGAGAGACAGAAACACCAATGATGACAGAGAATCATGGATCGGCTGCCTCCTGCATGCCCCACACTGAGGATGGAGCCTGCAACTCGGGCATGTGCCCTGACTGGGAATCGAACCGTAACCTCCTGGTTCATAGGTTGATGCTCAACCACTGAGCCACGCCAGCCAGGCAGGGAATGCCATTCTTACAGAACATCTGTGGGACTAGTGAGCTATAGAAACTTGGGAAGTCATGTCCCAGAAGATTCTTTCCCTTTATTTGTTATTTATTTCCAAGTGCTAGATCCCACAATCA